TGTGTGTGTGTGTGTTTAAATGGTGCCAGAGGGAATGAGAATGCTGATGAACACCCGTAGGTTCTCACAGGTTTGTTACGCCGGGAACGCAGAGGTTCAGACTCATGCTGATCCCCACGTGCACACTGATCCCCACATGCACACACATCCTGACTTTCAGCTCCCTCCCGGAGCAATTACTGGTGCGTACACGACTTATTAAATTATGCTGCACATTACGCTGCGTTGGAAGAACACATGCGGCTCTGAGGCAGCTCCATGCCACAGAGCAGGTTTACTGCGAGCATGGAGCCAGAACTGGGGGGGGGGTCCTGATCCAGCCATGCAGAGATGGAGGGGGTCCATGCATGTTCACAGATGGAATCCTGGCATGGACACCACATACAAACAGTGGCTTCATTTTCCTGGAAAAAGATGTCATTAATGTGTACTTTGTGCAGGAACACTGAAACAGGAGGAAACAGGAGCAAAGTCCCACTTCCCTTCCTTCAGCACAACTAAATTTACCTCCTTGGGCATGGTGACAGCTGACTGTTGCTAGGCGACCACAGACCCGTCTTCCTTCGGTTGGTGCAACAAATAATTGTATATTATCCTTCTGTCAAACACAGAAGAGCTGGGAGCTGAGGAGACGACAGATTAGTGAACTTCAAAATAATCTGTTCACGGCACAAAATAAACGTTCTGTGACAACAGAAACGAGGGAGAATAAATGTTTCTCCGTCACGCAGAGATCAGACCGACGCTAAAAGACATCAGTCTGAATGCTCCGGCCTACACGAGCTTCATCAACTTCAGGAAACATCTTGTAGCCGTTTCAGACAGAAACACGAGTCCTGTGAGGTGGTGGGAGGTGCAGCGAGGCGTGCATTTTACACACATACCTCTGCCTGGGACACTAAAAATAGCTGCAGACACACATGGGGGCGGGGGGGGCTGGACTCAACCATGTGTGAAGAAACAGCTCCAGAACCACAACAGAACCGAAGTCAGAGCCCACAGTTCTTTAAAACATAAACATGTAATTCACTCCGTTTGCAACTGAAGATAAAGGACCAAAGCACACCCAGCAGCCCCGATTAGGTCCACCTCACTGGTACCAGGTTGGACCTCCTTCGTCCACCTCACTGGTACCAGGTTGGACCTCCTTCATTAGGTCCACACCTC